TGACCTGTCATAAATCNCATCATAAATGACATCATGACCACGCATTTCATGACCCCAACCAGTCATATCCTGCACTTGCTTATGCAAACTATGAACTGATCCATGACCGGATCCATGACTTAATGACAAATTATGACCGGATCCATGACCACATACATGACCAAATCCATGACTTAATGGCAAATTATGACCGGATCCATGACCGCATCCATGACCAAATCCATGACTGGAAAACCCATCCATGACCAAGTCTTTCCCCGAGTGATACGTAGGTGATGCATCACCTGGGACAGTCCCTACCTATTATACGAGAGTGTCGCTTATATATAGGTGATCGAAAGGTTTACTGTGTGGCACAACAAGCACAATATACACACTGTACTATACACACTGTGACACAATATTGTCTATATACTGTGTGTGTATGCTTGTATGTGTGTGCTGGTGTGTGTGTGCTGGTGTGTGTATGTGTGTGTATTACCCTTGATATGATATCATGCATGACACTCCATCGATGAAGAGAAGATGATTAATACGATTATTAGTGAGTGTGGTTCGTAATTCTTCTTACATGCACCAGATAGACCGCTAGTTTGATTATTAAGCATCGATGCTACTGATATCAGTAGCTTTTATTAGCGAACATATATGTATATACGTCTGTATATTACACGTAAATGATATATAATATTATTTTAAAATTTTATTATTTAAAATTATATTGCCATGTAGCATGGAATGACATCATTTAACGAACAGCATGATATATAATCAATCGTTACATTTGGAATGACATGTATAAAATCTCAGTTGTGGGTATCAACCGTTTCCACATTTGTAACACAACCCCTTATACATTATGTGTGGGACAGGCGGGCATATCTACACCGGTGGTCGCTACCAGGTGAAACTCTGTCTACCCAGGTATTTCAGGGCACCCTCATCCAGTCACCCTAGCCGTCTTCTCAGTGAATCACTCGGGTACATCTCAGGAGTGCTCCCACCACCGTCATCCAACGACATGTACATCTGCAAACTTAATGGCGGCTGGAGCCCATTCCTGGTCAGCTCTCATGTCAACATTATCCCAGGCCGTTACTGTTCATCAAATAGCGGCACTCTTACCTTCCACCATCGGTAAAACGTTTTACCTTGACTGGTGGCAATCCTGGAACCTCCGGAAGCGTCAGTGTATACACACATGTGTTACCAATGCTGCCTGCTAAGTTCATGACCTATGTATATATGTATATGTACGACACACCAGCACTAGTAGTACTACATGTACAGGAACTTGATGAACAATGCATAACAGCCATAAGGATATTCATACCATGTTATGAACACATGTGTACACAGTGGCTACTTAGCACAGCCTTTCATAAGCCCATGATGCATAGAGGGTTTAATAATTACGTATGGTCTACTACACCAATCAAACTGGCTGCCTTACAGCAGCATGAATTCAAGGCTTTGCAGCCATTTGCAATGGGCAACCATCCATCCTAGTGGGTCAAGCAACAACACCCATCACACAAC